GGAATATGGGTCCACGGAAAGTAGGCGTAAGTGAGGTAATTAAGGAGTCCGACGGCACACTGATCCATATTCAGCAACACTGTCAAGATCGATGGGCAGAACATTTTAAGGCCCAGTTCAGCTCACCCTTGTCAGCATAAGATCTCCCTACACCCGATTCAACTGTGCAAATACTACTAGTTAACATCAGTCCTCCATCTGAAACAGAGGTTACCCGAGAAATAAGCTATCTCAAAAGGTGTAAGGCTTCCGACCCCGATGGGCTGTCCCCATCGGTTTTTAAGGATGGAGGTCTAGTCTTGGTTTTGGAGTTAACAAAACTCCTGGGTTCAGTGTGGGAAAAGGAACAGGTCCTAAATGAATGGTGCGAATCGGTGATGATAACGACTTACAAGAAGGACGACAGGTCCTCTTGTGAAAACCACAGAGGAATTAGTTTAATCAACATTGCCTCCGTCGATTATCTGCCGCTCGTGAAGAGTGCACACGTGATAACCAGGCCTGTCTTAGACCCGGTTGGGGTTGTATGGAACACATCAAAGCCTAGAACACAGACACTCTTCATAGACCCACCATTTCCACCTTCTTCGAACTAAAGGTGGCTTTCGACTCAGTCGACCGCTCTAAACTCTGATGCTGCCTCACTCCGAGAGATGTGCCCGAAAAGTTTATTTCAATATTACAATCCCTCCGTACTCATAATAATGGCCAAAACCGAGTTCGAGCTTACGGCACTTTTTCACCCGAGTTCACCACGGAAAGCGCTGTTCGACAGAGTTGCCCTCTCTCTCCATATCTGTTTAACTTTGTTGTAGATTTTGTTCTTGAAACAGCCCTATCCTCGTACGGAGATAGCGACATCGACTTGCTCCCAACTGGCAGACTGTCTGATCTAGAGTATGCAGGCGACATTGTGCTACTGAGTGAAGATCCAGGTAAGTTGCAAGCTTTTCTGAATAGTTTGAGTGCTAGTGTAGCGATGTTCGGCATGCGCTTTGCACCTTCAAAGTGTAAAATGCTGCTCCAAGATTGTGTTGTCCCAGTCCCTAGCCTTACTCTGACCGGGGAAGTTGTAGAGAAAGTGGACAAGTTTTGCTACCTGGGCAGCTATATCTCACTTGGCGGACGTATCACAGATGAAGTGTCGGCGCGCATACAGAAAGCTCGATTGGCATTTACAAACTTGAGACATCTGTGGCGCCGCCGTGACATCCGGTTGTCTGTGAAGGGTCGAGTGTATGCTGCAGCAGTTCGGCCAATCCTGCTTTACGGTGCAGAGACTTGACCATTGCGGGAACAGTATATGAATAGACTGTCAGTTTTCGAACGCCGCTTCTACGTCGCATTGCATGAGTCTGGTGGGGAAACCGGACGAACAATACTGCAGTTAGGCGCAGAGTTAGTAGTCGCGGTCGTCCACTGATGCAAGTGATCGATGTCCCTAGATTCATTCGTTGGGGCATGTGTTGGGTATTTCACCAGATCGGTTGCTACGGCGAGCGATGTTTGCCAACGCAGGTGCGGTTGAAAAAAGATCAAGGGTGGTCAACTTAAGACCTGGCATGGGGGTATGAAAACCCCATCCAAGAGATTAGATCACATAAGTCCCGTTAGGCTCCCTGGCTAGGAATCTAGAGATAATTTTGACCGATGGTTAAAGACACTGAGCGATATGGCTGGGTGCTGTAAACAGTAGCATTCATGCATTTACTCGGTGTTCTCCAAACACCACTCTATATGAATTCTTCATCTTGCGCTTGAATTTGCCTTCAACATTTCAATCTTCATTCTGCTCTTTTATCCCAATGGGGAACCAAAAGACAGCAGCCAAAACCGGTGCACGAAAAACCATGGTTATTGGTTGTAAAAACTGAACTGGTGGTT